ATAATCTAATTTTTACATTGTTTAGTAAGCATGCACCAATAAAAGAATCACTAATAACAAAACCAAAAGCGCCTTGGTTAACTAACAATATTAAATTATTTGTGAAACAAAGAGATGCAGCACTGCAAAAATTTAAAAAATCAAAGCTTCAATCAGACTGGGTAGATTATAAACATTTAAGAAATTTTACTTTATCGTTGATAAGAAAAGAGAAGAGGGAATACATAGAAACTTTTGAAGGTAACTCCAAAAAACTGTGGTCACTTTTAAAAAGTTTTAATATCTGTTCTACAAAAAAATAATGAAATTCCCCAGTCTTTATCAGAACCTGATGATATTAATAGCTTTTTTTGCTGCTTTTCTACAAATTAAATCTAACTGTTTGGAAAAAATTAAATTTTATAAAAACAATATAACTTAAACTTTAACTTTAAATTAGCAGAAACAAAAAATATAAACAAACTGTTAAACAACATAAAAGGTAATGCAACCGGGATAGATGATATTTCGCCCTTAATGTTAAAATATTGTAGTCCGTACATAGATAAGTATATAACACATATTATAAACTATTCCATTGAAACAAGCTACTTTCCCGACAAGTGGAAAATCTCCATAGAAAAACCATTACCAAAAATAACTAATCCATCAAGTTTTAACGAACTTCGTGTGATAAATATATACTAAGTGACATATAAATCCGAACAACCAGTTTAAATGGTTTTATTTTAATAAAAGTTGGTGAATGTATTTATCTTACTGTAAATAACAAGTGAAAACTTTTTCAGCCTTATCAGTTGGACATTCCGGTTTTTATACTGCTTTTTTTTTAATTCACTAACGCTCTAAAAATGAATATTTCAGCCGCAGTAAAGAATCAACGTTGGCGGATTTTGGTTCTTGACATCCTTTACGATCGGTTACGATGCCTAGAATACGGAGACCTGTACGATTTCGTCAACTTAGTGAGTTTGATTGGGGCCGTATAGTGGGACTTCGGGAAGCTGGACTTTCTTTTCGGGCAATTGCAGTTAGAGTGCAAAGAAGTGTAGACACTGTGGTTAGGTGTTGTCAGGCATGGCTTCGAGAAGGCCGTACGCAAAGAGCAAGGGGCACTGGACGCCGCCGTAGAACAACAGACCGTGAAGATCGCCGCCTAAGATTATTGGCCTTAAGGGACCGTTCCTCCACTACCACGTCCATTGCAAATAAATGGTTTGCAGAACACGGAAGACCTATTGGCATGCGAAGTGTTTACCGACGAATGAGAAGTTTTGGCTTGTTTTCATACCGGCCACACTGGGTCCTCCCTTTAACTCGAGAACACCGACGTAATCGCCTTGAGTGGTGCAGACAACGGTCACTCTGGAATCAGGAATGGAACAGTATTGTCTTTAGTGACGAGTCTCGATTTTGTTTAGGCATGCACGATGGTCGTGCCAGGGTTAGAAGGCGACGTGGTGAAAGGAGGAATCCACAGTTTTTTGTTGAAAGACATGTTCATCACACTGTTGGAGTTATGGTTTGGGGTGCTATAGCTTATGGTTCCAGGTCACCTTTAATCTTCATCAGAGGTAACATGAACGCGCAGCGTTATATCGACGAAGTTCTAGAACTCCATCTTTTACCCTATCTTGACACCCTGGCAGATCCAACTTTCCAACAAGATAATGCCCGACCACATGTTGCAAGAGTCACAATAGACTTCTTTCAATATGATGATGTCACATTGTTACCATGGCCACCAAGATCTCCCGACTTATCCCCAATTGAGCACGTGTGGGATATGATGGGTAGGAGATTGCTCAATTTGCAACGTCCTCCTCAAACTCTAGAAGCACTTCGAGAGGAGTTGGTGGTTGCCTGGAATGAGATACCACAGGAGGACATTGACCACCTGATCAGAAGCATGCCTAGGCGCGTTGGAGAATGCGTAGCACATCAGGGTGCATCCACACATTATTAAAGGTCAAAGGGCTTTAAAGCAGTGCAATCATTTTGAAATGTTTATCATTTACTTATTATGCTTCATTAAGTACTTATACAAAATTTTATTAAAATAAAACCATTTAAACTGGGTGTTCGGATTTATATGTCACTTAGTATACTTCCTGCTTTGTCAAATATATTTGAAAGAGTGCTGTACGAACAAATTTATGACTTTTGTATGAGTAACACTATTATTCCTGATACTCAGTGTGGTTTTCGTAAAAATTTTGGTACATCAGTGCTCTAACAAACGTACTCGATGACATATTAAGAGCAAATGATAAAAAGATGAGTTCAGTTTTGGTACTTCTAGACTTTTCAAAAGCTTTTGATACCATTAATCATGAATTGTTGGTAGCTAAACTTCAGTACTATGGCTTTAATATGGAAGCATGTTTGCTTTTAAAATCGTATTTGACAGGAAGGTATCAATCGATTCTATCAAATGACACATTCTCAGACAAAGCGGAGATCCTATCGGGAGCTCCTCAGGGATCAATATTAGACCCCTTGTTATTTTTAATTTATACGTCTGATATCCTCACGTCTTTAAAGTTTTGTAAAGTTCATGCCTTCGCGGATGACACCCAGGTTTATTGTTTTTTTGATATTGAGTATTACAAATATTACGAAAATTGTATAAATGAGGACATTAACACCTTGAACAATCTCTCATTAGGTCACAACTTAAAACTTAATCAGGAAAAATCGTATGTATGATTTTTGGTAACAAATCTAAGACTGAGTTTTTGAAAGCTAATCTCAACATAATGGCTAATAATTCAAAATCGAATTTTGTTGAAAGTTTAAAAAATCTCGGTATAGTTTTAGACTCTCAGCTTAGATTTAAAGATCACCTGAAAAATCTCATGCAAAAATCATTTTGTTCTCTAAAAGTCTTGTATAATAACAGACACATACTAAACAGATCGCTAAAAAAAAATTGTGTGAATCCCTAATTCTTCCCAATTTCAATTATTGCGATTTTGTCTATGGATTTTGCTTAGATCAGGCAAGTGGGGGTCGGATTCAGAAGGTGCAAAATGCGTGCCTCAGGTTTATCTATGGTCTGCTTAGGTTTGATCATATATCTCATGTGTATAAAGGAATTAAATGGCTTAAAATGAATAATAATAATAATAATAATAATAATAATAATAATAATAATAATAATAATAATAATAATATTTATTTACTCTAAAATACAGGAAACATGAAACGAGTAAATAAATATAATATAGGAGGACAACGCCTGTGCATGGATCATATGTATGTTGAATTGCAAAATATAATAAAATAGAGAGAAAAAAGAATTTATTGGTAAGAATGGTAGAGCATTTATTGTGTAATATTTGAGATTATTTTATTAATTTGATTTCTCCCAATCGTGTTAATAAATTTTCTTAATTTTTTTTTTGAAGCCTAATGTATTGCGTAATTGTTTTAAATTATTTGGTAAATGTTCGTACAATTTTGGAGCTATATACAGGTGACATCGTTTCATTAGGGATTTGTTTGGTTTAGGAACATTTTTTGCGCGTAATTTATATCTGGTTTTATGATTATGTTTAATTATGTCGTGTTCACTAATAGTTTTGTGATAATGAGTGATGGTATGTAAGAAGTAAAGTTGTTTAGTATCATATACTTGTGCATCATTATATAAGAAATTAGTTGGGTATAATTTTGATTTGCCTAACATTGATTTTAAAATTCTTCTTTGAAGTACATCTAAATCGTTAAAGTATGTCGTGCATGCAGCACCCCACACTACTATACCATATGTTATGTGTGGCTCGACTAAAGCTTGATATATTATTCGTAGATAATATTCAGTTGATATACCGGTTAGAAATTTTATTTTATATGCTATGAATCTAATTTTCTTTAGTATGTGAGAAATATGTACATCCCATCTCAAGTGGGGATCTAGATAAATTCCTAAATATTTTGTATCATTAACTCTATTGATTTTTATATTTTTATCATTTACCTTAAACCGAAGGTGGTTATATTTTGGTAGATGATTAGATAGTGATGAAAATGGTAAAAAATGAGTTTTAGTAAAGTTAATTGTTAATTTTCGGTTATTAAACCAATGAGCGTCGCACTTTCCATTTTTCTAGTTTTTTATTAAAAATTATAAACACTCCAGGTTCACCTGATTCTATAAGAGAACGCTTAATTTTCCGACATTCTGTTCTTGATATAATTGTAAGATATTTAAAAGAATTAACTATGCCGCTTCATAGTAGTGCATTATTTCAACGATCATTCTCATACAATGCTGTTAAACAATTTAATTCAATTCCCAACCAGTTCCTTAATCTTTCTCTTTCAAGTTTCAAAATACAATATAAGAAATATTTGCTAAATAAAAATCTGAACAAACTTTTTTAGAATAGAGATTGAAGTATATAATATAAGTATATAAGTAGAAAAAATATGTCAACCAGTAACCAAATTTTATAGTGACCAGTATTAAATAATATCGTTTTGAAATTCTAATATACTTTCAGTCCATTTAGTGTTAACACGTGATTATTATTATGATTATTCCGCATTGTTGTTTAAGATTTATTACTATTATTATCTTTTTTTGTCTTACTTTGGTTCAATAGTTCAATAGTTAAGCTAGACTTGCGCCAATATTAGGCAATGTATTCTGTATTTTTTTCTAAATTACCTTTGTAAAAAGATTATTTGTTTTATTCAATAAAGTAATTTATAATTATATTATTATTATATATAATATTTGTTAAAGCTTTAAGCACATGAATCATAGTGTAATTTCAACTATTCAACCTAGGCACAGTGAAGTTTAAAAGGCGTGTTTGTAAAAAAATGAACTCAAGTCGTTTTTATAACTTTCAGACAAACTACCCGCTGTTTCGGAATCAACAATTTTACCCGTAAAGTAAACATGACACTTAATCCAAGTGTCTATTTCTATATGTGTTGACGTACAAATCATGGATATCCAATATTATCGCATATATTTCTTGTTTCAGACATTTCCACTCCAGCGCACATAAATGAAGTGACACCTGCTGAAACGAAAACGCAACAAGAAACCATACTGCCATGTTGCCCACGAACGTGATGTCTTTCATGAAAAAGGTAAAACTTGTTTATTTCCATCGAACGAATCAAGATATATTTGTCAAATCGGATATAAACGTATGGCCCTACGAGGAATAATACGAACCCCTTCCCACTTCAGTTGGCCCAACTATTGAAATCTTAGTTTTTTTCTTATCAAACACAAATAATAAAAATGTAGCACGGTGTTATAGGTTTGAAATATTAACAATGAATATTTTGATAATATATAGTAGAAAATACCAACTTTATCACTCCCTAATTAAACTTGCAGCATAAAAATAACACATGTTGCAATTACAGCAAATCAACCTATTTTCATTTCACTGCAAAATAAGTCTATAACGCATAGGTGGCTGTGAAAAATAAAAGCCATGACAATTGTTTTTATTATTCACAGCTGTCAGAATACGTTTAAAATAGTTTTGGGTAGTTAAGGTTTTCAAAATGGGTAGAGGAAAGGTTATTAGTGAGAAAATTCGGTTACTGATAATTGCAACTTTGTTAGACTTATCACGGTACATTGTTAGAAATATTGTTATATAACGTAACTGGTTCAGTTAATATTAAGCCACGATATGTGAAAAAAACTAATATCACAAATGCCGACCAAAGAGCATTAAGAAGAATAATCGTGAAAAACAAGCGTGTCAATTATTTACAATTAAGTGCTCTGTGGAGTGACGCTGTTGGAAGGAGAATTTCGAGGTCCACAACTCATAGAGAGGCCCACAAACTGGGATTTAGCGCTAGCAAGGTAAGTTTTCTTATAAAAAAAAGTATAACCCTAAAGTTGCACAACTTGTTTATAGGCCAAAGAAAAGCCACTATCAACTCTACTACAAAAGAAAAATCGGCTTACAGTATATTCAGATAAGAGATAGACCGGACATAAACAAGACCACGTGATCATCGAACGCTGTAACATTCGGCAGGGACGTATTAAGAGTCACGCAGTACATATTTTAGATAGTAGATGCTGCTTTGCGTAACTTTGTAGTAAATTAGCACAATTCGATGTGTATACGATTGGTGATGGATATAGGATCATGTGGGGGTGGGGTAAGAAATATATAATGATGTAAATATACATAAGGATTTCAAAATTTTCGCTTCGATTTCCAGCTTCGGATGCCGCCTGATGTTTGCTGAAATACAGTCGAATATAATCTCAAAATGGCGTTTAAATTAGCCTAAATTAAAAATAATCGTATATCTCTTAAAATTGCTTTTAGAATATTGATTAGTATATTTTTTGATTTCTAGGTAAATATGTAACCAAATTAAAACGTTCAAAACGTAAAAAAATGTGCATGGTTGAACATTGTCAGAAAGTAGATTCTTGAATAGGTTTTGCCAAAATGGGTTCAAAAATGTCAATAATTAATTAAAAAATACAGTAGCTTTATAATTTATCGATCAAACGAACTTACCTGAAGTTCGATCGTAATTATATGAGGGTCCAGTCCGAAAATATTACATAATTGTGTAGTAGTGGCTTTCCATACTTTTTATCACGAGGTTCAAAGCAAAGGAAAAATGCGCCCGTCCGGTCCTGACTGCCGTTCACCTTGATGATCTAGTGGCGCACCGTCCTATTCGCTTCATTCTTCAAAGTATCCAGATGTATTACCTGCAACTCTCAGGGGCGGGTAGGGGTAGGGTTTGTAATATTTTCGGACTGGACCCTCATATAATTACGATCGAACTTCAGGTAAGTTCGTTTGATCGATAAATTATATTTCGGGATCCAGTCCTCAATATTACATAATTGTGTAGCTGTTTAAAGGAAGTTGCAGTAAGACAGGTGGAAGAAACTTTTATTTTAAGAAAAACGAAAAAGTTGATACAAACTTTAAACAAATTCAAATAACCGTAAGTATATCCTCTATGTTTCTGATGATAATAGATTCAAGACAGATGTTAAATAATTGTCTTTCTCTACTAGAGGTCTATTGTAAAACCTTGCAAAGGTTTGAGAGTCCTGGCTCCAACCAGCTGATCTGCATATTGCATCTATATGCACCCCTTGTCTTAGCGCACATGAAGTGGAAGCGTGCCTTGAGGAATGGGGTTTGAACATATTTGTGTCGATTCCTGCCTTTGCCATTGTATTTTTTACCCAGCGACTCAAGGTTTGCTTAGTAGCTGGGCCATGTGGTTTATTGAAGGTGAGAAATAGCTTATCACAATCGGCAGGGCGGAGTGGTTTAGTTAGTTCCAGGTACTGATGTAGGCAAGAAGCAACACACAAGTTAGGACATTCATGAAAATATGGCAATGACAACTTAGGTTGAAGTGTTTTAGGCCCTGAAGTTTTCACAAAATCGGGGATTTGGATGTCTGCCCCTGAGGTAGAAAATTTAATATTAGGACATCTAATAAGAGCAACAGTCTGGATTCTCTGTCCGGTAGCTAACACTAAGAGAACAACTAATTTACAGGATACGGATCTTAGATCTTTATCGGGCGGTTTATTTAAAAACTTAAGTACATCTTGAGGATTCCACGTAAAATTATATCTAGGCCTAGGCGGTCTAGTTCGAAAAATTCCTTTCATAAATCGTTTTACCTCTGTATTTGTCCCTAAATCGCTAGAAGTGATAGGGGAAAGAGCCGCCCTATGGGAATTGAAGGAACTATAAGTATTATTTGATGTGTTCATAACCTGCTGTAGGAATGAAATGATATTGGGTACGTCGTATTTAAAAGGGGATATGTCCCTCAGTTGACAAAATTCCCACCAAAGTCTTAGGCTACAGTTGTATTGAGAAATCGTATAGTCACTCAAGGAGTTCATCATGGTGTCTACAGCTTCCGGAGGAATCCCTTTTCGTTGAAAAGCTTGCCTGACAATCTGGTCGCCACCAGGATAAGGTTTTCCGATAATGGATGTTTCTTTTGGCTGAAAGGGCAAAGCAGGAGATTACTTGAGGTCCAAAGTAGATTGGATTTCCTATAATTAATTGTATAAATAATGGGTACCATGGCTGGTTCTTCCAAAGAGGAACCACCAAGATACCTGATGCTTCGTCACTGATAATTTTCTGTAAGGTTCTCAGAACCATTGAAAAGGGTGGGAACGCGTAAAAGTTCAACTATTTCCAAGAGACAGTGAAAGCATCAATTTCTTCCGAGCTAGGATCTCTTAACCAAGACATGTATCTATCACATTTGTGATTAGCTATGGACGCGAACAAATCGATATCAGGGATCCCAAAAGTTTGAGCTATTGCGTCAAAGGCATGTTGGTTAAGATACCACTATGTCTCGGTATGCAAAACGCGAGACGCACGGTCTGCTTGCCAGCTCTCTGATGAAGGAATGTAGGAAGCAAATATCCATAAATTTTTTGATTCGCACCACTTCCAGATGGTTCTTGTCAATTCATTTAATTGCGGGTGCTGCACGCTGCCTATTTAATTGATATATATATATATATATATATATATATATATATATATATATATATATATATATAGCTAGTGCCGTAGAATTGTCCGTTCGAATAAGAACGTTGCAATTTGATAAATCTCTGGCAAAACATTTTAGGCCAAAGTATATAGCTCTTAGTGCCAAAATGTTTATGTGAATATTTGATTCTTGTTCCGTCCATCGACCATAGCTACTTTCGCCTTGGCAAAAGGCGCCCCAACCTGACAAACTAGCATCTGTATAGATCTCTCGGTGAAATGATCTCGTTTAAGATCATTTTTAGCAGTATTGATATGGTGTTCCCACCAATAAAGTTCTTCAATTATCGTCTGGTTAATGCACATAGTTGCATTGTAATTTTGGGAGTGTTGGCACAAAGCAAGGAACTTTTCCTTTTCTAATATTTTGGTATACAACCATCCGTACTTCACTGCTGGGCAAGCGGATGTAAGCAACCCGAGAAACTGGGCTAACTTTACAATTTTACAAGTAGAGTGCGTTTTTAAAAAACGTTATCCAATTTGAGATTTTTGACGTTTTATTGGTGGTAATTCTATGGTCATTTTGATAGAATTAAAAACGAACCCAAAAAATTTAAATTCCGTAGAAGGTGAGAGGACACTCTTTTGCCAATTGATAACAAATCCCAGAGAAATTAGAAGAGAAGCAACCAAACGAATGTTTCTAGAACACTCGTCACGTGTTGGTCCCAAAACCAAAAAGTCATCCAGATAAATTACGCAGGGTACGCCCCTGGCTCTCACGTGGTTGACGATTGGTTTCATTAGTAAACTCATATAAAACATCCTTGAAAGAAAATCGTAAATATTTTCTGTGGTCACGATGAACTGCTAGCATATAATAGGCGTCTTTCAAGTCTAGCGTGGCTCCATAGTTGCCACGATGCACTAACTTACTTGCTGTTCGGGCGTCTTCTAGCTGAAAATGCGGAGCGTAGATAAATTCGTTTAATCGCTTTAAGTTTAAAATAAAGCGTTTTCCACCGTTAGGCTTGTCGGTTAAAAAATGGGAGAAACAAACTGCCCAGTTACATTACCGTGACACTTTTCTATAGCCCCAGAATTTAGTAACCTACTAATTTCGGAACCGATTAATTGGTTTTCATCATATGAATGATTAGCGTTATTTGGAATTTGTGGCTGAATAGGTGTTTTAACAAATGGTAATTTATATCCTGAGATCCAACCCAAAACAATACGATTGTCAGTAAGGGTTAACCATTTCTGATAAAAAGAATTCAAGCGACCTGCATAGTTGCTTACCAATTCTAATGTCGTCTCCTCTTCTCTTGTGGTTTGTTCCAATAGGTGTTTTGGTGAAATCTGGATGAGGGGCCCCTCTCGTGACTCACTACCCCCAATCGGTGAGTCGGGGGGCGAGAGTTTAAAGACCCTGATGATCTTGAGGTTTCTGTATAGACAGCTCGGGTTTGTCGCCCTCCTCCTTTTTGTGCCCTTCTGGGAGCGAGTGCTGGTTTAGAAGCGCCCACTTTATTCTGATAAGTCGGGAGTTTCAGATCCTTACTCACATTTAGAAGAGATTTTGCTATGTCTAATTTCTGA